TTCTTCATTATTTTAATAAACTATATATAATTTTGTATATCTTCTATCTAACATTTCTTCAACAGTGTTCAATGGCGCCGTACCCCATTACGAAGTTCACACATTCCTACTAGCATGTTCTAGGTCCTGTGCGACATTAAAAATACGTGTTTGGTATTTTTTTTCCGTTTAAAAAGGTACCATGTCCTTAAAATATCTTATAGTACAGAAAAAAATCGTGATCGGGCATAAACGATTGTTCTGATTGGAGACAAAGCCCTCGCGTTTGCAGAAAAAGGGCCCCCTTTCACTTCTCGACCAAGTCCAGGAAATGTGAAAAAAGTCTTCCTAAAACCTTTCTTGTGCGCATTTGTGCATCCTTAAGCCAAATTATACCTTACTAGCTGTCAATTATCCAATTATCACTTATTTATCTACTAACATAAAATAGATTCCTTATTTTACGCGAGTACTTAATATCGCGAAATGGCCCTTAGACCACGAGAAGTATAATTCGCGAGTGGTCGCTTAATCAAGAGGTTTTACATGGATTTCAGCACCATAAAAATTAAAGCTAGTAATTTTATTTCGCCAGTGGTTCTTCTCGCGTAATTACGCGATAATTAATTTCTCGCGTATATTTAGGAATCTACAGTAGCATCGGCTATCAAAATATGCATATTGAAAAATTCAAACTTTGAATCGCTGAAACATCAACAATATTAATTTTCTAGCAAAGATTTTTAAATATATGATTTTAATAACATGTAAACTTTGTCATATTAAAAAAATTGAGACGTGATAAAAACCCTTCAATGGAATTGTTGTTTCACTGAATTTAGGATATTATGTTTTATTTTACAATCATTTTCTTTGACTCTTGAAATTAATTCCTGCAATTCTAAATTCTTGAAGATTCTCTCTTGAGTATGGGCGACTTTTACCCCTCACCTAGGACAGTAGGCTCCTGTAACTTGTATTTTCTGTACATTTACATGACAACGCTGAACAAGATGATACTAGTATTTCTCGTCTGTTTGACTGCTTTCTATGATAAAACGCACATTTTCAGATTAACCTCTGAAATCAAGCATCAAGGGAAACCTTTCGACTGCAAAATTTCAAAGTTTCAAACCGTAAATGTAAAAGAAGTTTCCTCTAAATGGTAACAATTTATCATTTTTAAAAATAAACAATACTTCATTATCCTACCTTTTGATATGGTTTCTATCCGCAGCTTTGTCCGATTTCAGAACTACATTTCGACATAACCAAGACGAGAATGGTAAATGAACAAAGTACATAGAATAATACTCACCTCTAAGAAGTCAATTTTAAAATTTCAACCAAATAGTATCAAAGAAAGCTCGAATAAATCAATTTGCAAATATCTACGGTAGAATCACATATTTGTTATATCGTACCATATCATTTATTGATAAACTCCGCTTAAAAACATCAACTTTGAAAACTTTAGTTAATAATTCTAAAGGACATACGCCCTTGACATGAGATATGAAATACATCTCAGGGATATTTTGTCGTACTTAAGTAAGAAAATGTTAGAAATTATTATTAGAAGAATGTGACCTTAATTTGTGTGAAACAACCATGTTGTATGCTTTGAAAATGAAGTGAGTGTTGATGGTTTACTTAACACTTGATTAGTTTAAATTGAAAGATTGAAACTTTACCAATGGAATAGTTCAAAGATATACATGTGTAATTATTGTAAATAAAGTGTTCCCAAAAATTTTTGACATTTTTTAGTGATATATTTTATAATATATTTTTTAAAATAAAATATTTATAATCTAAATCAATTCCTTATCAAAGAACATTACTTGCTACTTTCTTACGTAATGTGACGTTTTCATGAATAACCTACCTTTTGCCTTGTATACTTCCTGTCGATTGCAAGTGTTCAAAATTAATGCTTTTGAAAACAGAAAACCTTTTGTAGATCTATACTATCAAAGAATCTCAAAAAGGGTGATACTTTGAAACACTAAGTATTTCACTGTCTTCTTTTGTTTCACGGACAGCATATTGAAAATTGGGAAGAAATGCAACAGAAGGAGAGAGCTGGTAGTGTTAGGAAAGTTAGAGAACCCCATTTCTCTAACCTTACTGAACAAATAGCCAAACCTACTTTGATCTGTAAATGTTAGTTTACTTTGCGTACCAACTCTTTTCCGTAACCGAGTTCCCTTTTTTCCCCAAAATTTTGTACCACAAAATACGAAGTAGATAGTGAAATACTCAGTGTGTCGGAGATATCATCAGGTTTAACAATCGCTTACTAATACATATCTTATAAAGACTTTCTATTTCCAAAAGTAGTATTTTTGAACAACAGCATAAAACGGGAAACATATAAAATAAACAGGAGTTTATCCATGAAAATTGCCCGTATCATAAGAAAGTAGGGGATATTATTATAAAATAAAGTACTAACATTAACATATTATATGTTATTTATCCAATATTTTGAATAAACGTATTGCAAAAAATTCTCAATAGTTTCTGGGAAGACTTTAGAATTTAATTAACTATTAATTTTTACGGTAGAATAAAAGATTGTTAACAATCTCAAATTCTACAGAAGCCTATTGTAAATGCTTAAGGAATAAATATCTTTTTTGCTACACTGTTCTATTTGATAATTTATGAACTGCATTCCCACATTGTAGAGGAATCAAAGATCTGTTTTAGCCGAACCTCTAAAATTAGAAGAATAATCTCCAAATTAAAAGATGAAAAATCTCTTCCTTTAATTTGTTTTGAAAGAAATTGAAAGTGTGTTCAATGCTTTTGAATAAATGTATTTGCACCTCTCGTAAAACTCGCCATATAGTATACATGAAAGTATTTTGTCTATTCATGCAATTTGATATTTATATTAAATTTTTTTAACTTGCCAGGAATAATTAAAGTAGTTCCACCGTGTATATTCTGCATTAAGGCAACGAAAACTATAAATTTTCTCTGGAATTATTTAACCTTGGCTATGTTTTAATATTTCAATTCTTTTATTGAATCTGTGAAAAGCACAATTTACTGTTCAAATCGTTATCGTTCAGATCTGAACATTCAACATCTTATATATCAGCAAAGGATAATTATTGCAAAGCAAAGATATAAAAAGTGGAACTTTCTTAGAACACACATATTTGATATCTGTATATATAGTGCCTTAATCCAAATTCATGCTCTACATGGTGTTGCTGGTTCATAGAAGTCAAGCCAATCTTTTTACTGTGCATACTCTTCTGACAAAAATCGGGTTAAATGTTCCGTAACTTATTTTATTTTAGATTTTTAACACAGTTGTCTGTGTTCCAAATTGTAAAATATTATAATGCGCGAAAACAGGGGGGGGGGAAGGGCATGATTATGCATATGTTGGTTTAACGACTGTACTTGAAGCATTCTTTTCTGAATTCTAGGAAGAAATGTCCAGAGTTTATTACTGTAAATTAAGTAAAGAGTCATACAAGATTTTGATTTTCTCTCTTTTTTTTTAAATTATAGAATAATGCTGTTACGGGAAAAATCTGATATCTAACAACTTTGTATTTTTAGAAATATAAAGAAAAGAAAAAAATGCAATATATACATTAAACCAAAACTACTAAGATAGAATTATGTGACATAGAAATTAGAATTTTTAGCATTTTGTGAAATATTTTAAATTCAGATCAATGCCAAAAACATTGAGCATTCAATATTGCTCAGTGCTTGATTGTCCCTATGCTATTAATAGACTAAGTGTGTGACGCAGATTCACATTTTAAAAAAGTTATCTGTCTTTTCCGATGGCTTGAATCCTATTCATTTATAAGTAATCTATAGGTACATTCTTAATAATGTTATCATTTATTAGTAATATATAGGTACATTCTTAATAATTCCCAATAGATATGTTCATTGCAGGATTTTTAAATTGTTGATTATTTTGTAGATGAACCGAATACATGTATTTTGTTTAAATTGTTTCAAATCGTAGTAGAAATCTTCTGATAATGGATTTATATTTATCATATTTTTACCCCTAAGAATATTCCTTTAAATATAATTCGGCTACAAGATATTAAAAGGTTCAAAGATATTATTTTTATGAAAAAATATCCTGTCGAATTTCAAGATAAATCTGTATTTTAAATGGAATAATAATGTTGAAAAGTAAGATTTCTGATAGATTATTGAATGTAACTGAAAGAAATTTCAATAATGGGTCATATCTTTACACTAATAATTAACATTGCATTTTTTATTTCAGTAATTTGAGGTAGTTCTTCATTATGCAGAGAAATTGTTACCTAAACCATGTGATAGCAAACTGTTTATTTCACAACGTAATCGCTTTTCGGGGTCAAATGTACAATAGTGCTCTCAGATGCTTTACCGTTGGAATAGCATATCATTGCATATAATCGGTAAAGAGAGGCATACATCGGCTGTAGATCGTAAGTTTTACGTCAGATATTCTTGATTTTAATTTCGCTTTATTGATGTGTATTAAGAAAGATGGAATAGAAGATACAGATCTGTAAATGAACTGCGCTTGGGAATAGGAATGTACTCAACGTTTTTTATATTTTCAATCTCCTGCAGTGTGTCTTGGGGAAGTTACAATGTTTTCCATTATTCCAATAATATCCCAAATTATTAAGAAATTATTATTAAGCACAGGGTTTTTTGAAAAGAAAAATTAACACGATGAACTAATATACAAATTAAATCATCAACATTCTATTCCTATAAAAGAAAATTCGATTGATTGAGCAGTCAGTTGACTTTTAGATCGATAACAACGTGAATATAGGTCCCCTGAATTATGAATCACCAAGAGTATTTGATTTGCTTCCTGTTTATACTTTTTGCCGGTACCAGAGTCCAAGAAGCATTTGCCAGAGGTAAGTAGAATGATACTCTCTACTTCATATCTGCTTTTTACGACATTTTTTGAAATATAGCTCGCACATTAAATTTGTTGCAGTGTTAAAAACTGGAAATTGTCTGTACATAAGAAATAGGATGTTTGTGGAGCGGAAGTTTGACCATGCTACTCAAATTTGTTGCACAGACTCTGGGATACACAGGAAATATGACAACCTACAGAGACTCGTAGATTGTTGTGGAGGTATTATGATGCAATTTTTCTTTTGTTGGTTATAATTCGAAACTTTGGGATATCTTTCTATGGAAAATATATTTGGAGATATTTATGTAATTGTTTTTATTACATCTTTTTGCAAAACGTATTCTGTCTGTTTTTCATGATTATGTAACTGACGGGTCTTATCCTCATGGTTTAATCAGCGCTTTTGGACAAATTAATTCAAATGATAAGCACTATAAGTTAGTATGAGGATTATAGATAAATGATTAATATAGCGGTGAAAACACTATGCTTACCTCAACTCTTTTCGAGACTTTGTTGGCCAATCTGCGAGAACAATTTTAGCGATCTTAAGACTTAGCTAAGCTCTAGATTTTTAAACACTTCAATTATTTGAATCAAACATGCCATTTTAAAGTAATATCTATAAAAAACAATAATTCCAAATAAAAAAATTCTTCTAATTCAAAATACAGAGTATAGATATAAACAGTCTGGTGTCAGCTTAACCTAGAAATAATAAAACACTGAAATGAAATCGAAAAAACGATATAAAGACTTTGAGTATTAATTGTGGTAGTGATGGCATGAAAATCATTTAATATACAATTTCTTATCTAATTTTGAAAAGAATTTGTTTGATAAGATAACTAATTTTAACTGTGTGTTAATACCCATACATGCATAATTCTCATGACTGAAATTCACTTGCAGAAAGAACATTCATACCGGACAAACAATTATGCCACGAAAAACATGTGTACGACAAGGAGAGTGGGCTTGGAATTAATGGTGAAAAAATGATCTGTGGGGAGGAGGATAAACGTAAATATATATATTTCTATATCTTTATATAGCAAAATTTACTCTGCGTAAACGCTCATATCGATTCCAAAGCAAAGAAATTTAACGAATGATTTTTTTTGAGTGGTATTCATGAGCAGTTAGTAACCTATTAACTGGTGAAACCTTGATAGTCATGATGTGACTGAAGAATTTGTTCATCATTTACGGCTAGTTTCACAAATCAAAATCATTTCCAGGTATCATTTATCCTGTTATCAATGCAAAGGAATCTAAATGTTGCGGAACACAGATGTATTCGTCTTTGACAGAAATTTGCTGTGAGGGGTTGCTTAAAAGTGTAAACGAAGGGTAAGAGAATAATGAAATCACTTCATTTTTACACCATAACATAACATAACATAACAGTAACATAAATATTCAAAGCAATTTGTTTCTCACAATTGTAGTTGCAAAGTTTCTTTGACGGAAAATATCACCAATGAAGAGGGATCCAGTACAAATAATCCACTTTTCAATCTTCATTTCCCTGGCATTTGCAAGATGTTAAAAGCATTGGGAAACTGTTACCTTTTTAAAATCTTCTGCAAATAATGTATGCATTTGACGGATTCTGAGTCTTCATGCTTGTTCACTCTCAAAAGTGGAACCATCAAGAGACGCTTGTGGATATGGACATTGGCTTTCTTAGCCTGTATTAAAAAAGAGATATGTTGTGAGATCTTAAAAGTGTGATTTTAAAACAGTACAGTTATACAAAGAGATTGATAACGGTGATAAATTAGCTACCAATACGCTAGCCCGTTGAATTTTCTCCGAGATACCAGTGTTTGTCCCAAAACATGATATATAAATGAAAACAACAGCATTTGCATGTAATATGAAATTGTGGAATTGTGCAAATTCATTCCAAAAGCTGATAGAGAGAAGATATAAATATATTAAATAATAAATATGTATTTTTTTTTGGGGGGGATAAAATCGTTTGGAATTAACAGGGATTAAGTTATCTTCAACCTCTCTTCTTCTGTCCTCCATAATCCTGTTTTCTTCATTACCTTTCTCATTTTTTCCTCCCCTGCCTTCAGGCTAACGTAAGAGTAATTTTATTAAGAAAATACGAGAGAACATTTCAGTTTGCTCCTGGTTTAACACTTCCTTGAATACAATATCTTACTTGGATATCCAATTCTTATTCAAAGCCTAACTCTTTGCTCACGAGTCTGTTCCATGTAATGTGGGACATAGAATTTACATGCAGAATTTCATAGATTATCTTATTTTAATTATTAATTGTAATATTTATAACTCCAGTGAATTAATGTAAGTGAGTGTTTTCGTTTGTTTATAATAAAGAATTCTCTTGCTTTAGAATAAGTTTAGCTTTTTAGAAGCAGGGAATTCCAAATCTATTTTTAGAAGTAGGCCAATTTACCAACATTGTTCCTTGTTCATGCTACCATTATGTACTATTTATAGGACTTGTAACAGACGGATGCTTTTGTGTATGATAATGTTTATTTATTGCAAATAAAACACTTTTTAATAACAGGAAATAGAATTGAAGTATGAGTTTGACACGTTTTACATCATTCAATTAATAATTAATCGATCAGTTGTATATATTAGTTTCCTCACCGTTCGTTTCATAGCATTGTATGCATCTAATTACATAATACATACAAATATAAAAAAAATCTCATCTTTCAGTATTATCCCTTAAAGGGAAATAACAACATTTCAGTTTTCTTTGAACAGATCACAAACTATTTCATAAGTATTGTATTTGTGCTATCAGGTGACATAAGGCATAAAACAAGAGCTGGAACCCAGAAGAGTTTTTGATCTTTCTTTACCTGATTTTATACTGGATTACAACTATTTTAGTAATACGAGAGAGTCTGTTATATTTATCACTCTTCTAACATGCTTCCAACATATCATAGATTTTGCAAGTGTATTATATACGAGTATCTTAAACTCAGAAAATGTTTCAGTTTTACTCAATTTTTATTTCATTCATTTTTCATTCATGAAGTTATTTGATACCTCAATATTTTTAATATCAGTATTTGATGTATATATTCTTATGAAATCATTCACAAGTAAATCATTCATGTTAAAAAAATCAAGCATTCTTTGAGTGATTTGTTTAGCCTAAATAGATAAAAAACAAAACAAAACAAAACAAAAACTTGTCCCTCTCATTGTTATGACGATGTTAACCTTGATTTAACCTCAATTGACCTGTTGAATATTACTACACATGACGTGGTGTCTATGTGCGAATGTACTTGTGAATATAATTATTTTTAAACGTGACCTCGATCTAACTTACGTCTGACTGGTTGGTTTACCATGTGCAGAATGAATCTTTTAAAAATAATTATATTGAAACTTCGGCCTCGAAAATATTTTGCGTTTTTGTTTATGAAATATATGGAGATAACCAACAGTATTCAAGCTCAAAAGTCCATTTAACAATACAAAATAGGAGCAGTGCAAATACGGACCTCCAAAGCATCAGCGGTTGGATCAGGTGCCATGGAGGAGTGAGCATCCCCTGCCGACCGGTCAGACCCGCCGCCGTATTTCATTTTAAATAAAATCCTTTTGTTAAGAACTTTAATTGATACTTTGACAGTTTGGATAATATGCAAACACAAAGAAAGATAACCCTATTATGTTTATTACGAATGAAGATCTATTGAAAAATAGACAAAACAAATATTTATCCACGATAGATGAAACCATAAACCATAATAAACTGTTATTTTGTTTTATGAGTGATGTAGATTTACCTTTTAAAAAAGAAAAAAAAATCATTTTTTTTACAGGAAAGCGTGAGAATAAAGTATATTGATAGAAATTGCATGTGTAAATGTATGCGAAAATACAGACTTTTTATAATGTTCAAATGTCTTCTTTTTTGCCATCACCTACATTTTTAAAATCACATTTTAGGATATTATTGAAGAACTTTGAATGAAAAATGAAACTCATTAATATATATTTATTCTACCTGTATTTACCTTGATAACACTTTTAAAAAGTTTGTTTGCAGCATCTGTCCTTAATGTACGTACTATTCTTTTCACTTTAGTCTATAAATAATTACAGGACAACGTCATTTGTGTGTATCCACATTTACTTTATTGTTTATGACAATGGCATGGAAATGCATTCAATATATTCAGACAAGGCAGAAGTCGTTTCTGATTGCCCATTAAAAGCAGTTAAAACCAGTACTGCCATAAACGTTAATAAATAATAAATTAAGCTTTAAACTTTGTAACTGATAAAGCACAAAATAAAAAAAATCCGTAAAACAAATTGGATATTAGATTTGATAGGATGAGCTTATATAAACACTTGTCAGGTGAGGCATATCAGATTATTTAACAAAAAGAAAATAATCTTGAAACATTCTTGGCTGATCTGTTTAATGAATATGGGGACATAAATTGACAAGTATTACACACAGAATAATAATGTACAGGTGGTTTTACTATTACAAAAACCTCAATATCTTGTAAATTGTGATAAATCATATTGATAAAATGTACTCTTAAACACCTTATCTAAAAGAATTATACTTTATACCAACGATCATCTATAAAAATCAGCTTGGTTTTTAACTTAACAATGGAGATAGTCTTCGCACATTATGGGGACCTTTCACAGCATTGATAATTCCAGATAAATTAGCTTTACAAAATAATTTCAAAATGAGGCACTTAGTTCTTAATATGTTACCATGCTTCCTTATTATCCATTCTTTTATTCATATAATTTATTTACTCCTACAATAGAATAAGAACAGCAAAATGTGCCAATTCTTTGAATAATTACAATGAAAAAGGTGAAAAGAAAAAATAATGATCATTTTCTAATTAGATCCCGTACAATACGAATCGTGAAGAGGACAAAAATATATACCCCTGGAAACACAAGAGGTAGGATCAAGTGCTTGAGGAAAGAAAGCATCACCTGTCGACTATTCACATTCATTTTGAAATGCTTGTATTGATCAAGTAAACTGGAGTAGTCCGTAATCAAAATTAGTTTAAACATTTTTTTTTTTTTTTACAATTTATATGATTCATGTCAGTCAAAAAACGACCCAGCAATGGGTTGTATTTGCAATCAGGATGATTATAACGATCTTAGGATTTAGAAAAATGCTCATTTCAAATGAAATTTTGGTATCAACCTATTTGTCAGCGGTTTCAAAATTTCAAATTTGCGTACTTAACACAAAGTGAAGTTTAAAGTGAAAAATATTACTGCTATGAGAAATTAGCGATGAAAAATCATTATTTATTCCATTCGGCTATACATGATATTAAAATAATAAATTCTGCATCTTGAGAATACTAGTATAAAAACAGGTTGACTTAAAAAGGGATCAGTTAGATTGCCGAAAGACCTGGTCCTCCAAAACAAAATAGATATTGCCAATGCATCCGTTTAATATCAAGTTCAGGGGTTGTCTGATTAGAACCAGAAGGATTTTTAACACATTTTGATTTTAAATTTATTTTTATCAGTTGGTTTTGTAATATTCATAAAACTCCTGTTCTCAACATGTGGCCAAGTTTGTAAATATATAATGAATGTGTTAATTCACAACTTATTTACATATACACGAGCTATTTTTATTTCATTGTTAAAGAGATATGGATCAATACTGATATTTCATGTCGATAACTAAAGTTTTCATCTCCATTACCTTATCACTTGTAATCAGCCGTTTTACCATGAACAATTTTAAATATATGGCGCGCTAGAGCTGTAAGTCAAGTCATTGTTTATTTTCGTCTGACGTTTTAATGTATAATGTCGGATTGTGATATTTATTTGAGTGACTAAGGTTCTTGGATGTTAAATGTTTACAGTCATGTTAAAATTAAATTTGTACTTATTGTTTTATTTGGAGGCACCAAAAGTTTCTCCGTTGGTTTCTAACCTACGCAGTACAGTTAAGGTGCCAAATGGAAATATCAGCAAATTTTTTTTAGATAGAAAATACATTCTTTACAAGGATGGGCGTTTCTTTTTAGGATTTTACTATTATCGGACAAATGCAATGTGGTTGAAAACTACATGTTGAGGACGATTAGATTTCTTATTTAGACTTGTCACGTGATTTTAGCAAATATACCTGAAGTATTGAGGTCATCTATAAATTCTAATAATGCAAGGGCATAACCAAGTTAAAAATCTAAGTTTAACATATGATTATTTTCAACACTCTTTGTAGTTTGTGAAAAGTGCTGCGAACCTATGTAGATCCTACTATCTATTTGCTAAAATTACATTTGTTAGACCGTTTGTTGAATATTTTGCTGGCCAAGTACATTAAATATAGATATAATTAATTCATTTGCAAGATTTCAACAGGTTCGCAGCACTTTTCAAATATCTTTATACTTCTTAAGTTTATGTGTGAAAGCTTGTCATAATTCATTGAGGGTATGCCCTTGCAATACATCGATTTATTACGACCCTTTTATTACCCTTCAATGCATCTGCATACAAATATACGACAGTATCGCTTGTCTAGGGAATGTTCAGGAACTATATGAATAAAATCATAAAATAGACATCGCATCCAAGTTATTGACCTCTTATATATCTACAATTTATATTTTATTTAATTACAAAATACATTTTTTCACTGTATAAATATAACTTGATCCGCCTCTCCTGCATACAGACTGCGTCAAATTTTACGATATGACGTCACATTGACAAGTGCATTGCGATCAGTGAATTGTTTATATATTGCTGTGTGGGATTTAACCAATGACAATAATACATGCACTAGATAGTATTGATGTAGTTTAGAGATATTA